GTAGTAGTAGTAGTAGTAGTGGTGGTGGTGGTGGTGGTAGTAGTAGTGGTGGTAGTAGTAGCAGTAAAAGTAGTAGTAGTAGTAGTAGTAGTAGTAGTAGTAGTAGTGGTAGTAGTAGTAGTATTAGTAGTAGTAGTAGTACTAGTAGAAGTAGAAGTAGTAGTAGTAGTAGTAGTAGTAGTAGTAGTAGTAGTGGTGGTAGTCGCGATCGTAATAATAGTAGAAGTCGACATAGTATTAGGAGTAGTACCAGTAGTAGCAGTCGTAGTAGTAGTAGCAGTAGCAGTAGTAGTAGTAGGAGTAGTAGTAGTAGTAGTGGTAGTAGTAGTAGTAGTAGTAGTAGTAGTAGTAGTAGTAGTAGTAGTAGTGGTGGTGGTCGTAGTAGTAGTGGTAGCAGTAGTAGCAGCAGTAGTAGTCGCAGCAGTAGTAGTAGTAGTAGTAGTAGTCGCAGTAGTAGTAGTAGTAGTGTGGGCTATCTCTGTTGCAGTACTACCACCACGAACGAGCGCGACCACTACTACTACTACGATTACGACTACATCGGCTACGACTACAACTGCTACTTGTCTTGTTCCCACACCCACTGCTCCCAACGCCCCCGTTTTACTATGTCCACTACTTGTACTACCAGTACAAGTATTCGCACCACTGACACTATGATTACTACTACTACTACCACTACTACTACTACTACTACTATTACTACTAAGACCAGTCGAAGTAACTGTACTAGTAGCAGTGGTAGTAGTCGCAGTAGCAGTAGTAGAAGTAGCCGTACTAGTAGGAGTAGCGGTAGTAGACGTATTAGTAGTGGTAGTAATACTAGTAGTAGTCGTAGTAGTAGTAGTAGTAGTAGTAGTAGTAGCAGTAGTAGTAGTAGTAGTGGTAGTGGTGGTGGTGGTGGTAGTAGTAGTGGTGGTAGTAGTAGTAGTAGTAATCGTAAAAGTAGTAGTAGTAGTAGTAGTCGTAGTAGTAGTAGTAGTAGTAAAAGTAGCAGTAAAAGTAGCAGTAAAAGTAGTAGTAGTAGTAGTAGTAGTAGTGATAGTAGTAGTAATAGTAGTAGTGGTAGTCGCGATCGTAATAATAGCAGAAGTCAACATACGATTAGGAGTAGTACCAGTAGTAGTAGTCGTAGTAGTAGTAGCAGTAACAGTAGTAGTAGTAGTAGTAGTAGTAGTAGTAGTAGTGGTAGTAGTAGTAGTAGTGGTGGTAGTAGTTGTAGTGGTAGTAGTAGTAGTAGTAGTAGCAGTAGTAGTAGTAGTAGTAGTAGTAGTGGTAGTAGTAGTAGAAGAAGTAGTAGTAGTAGTAGTAGTCGCAGCAGTAGTGGTAGTAGTAGTAGTAGTAGTAATCATAGTGTCAGTGGTACGAATAATTGTACTAGTAGTACAAGTAGTGGGCATAGTAAAACGGGGGCGTTGGGCGCAGTGGGGGTGGGAACAAGTAGCAGTTGTAGTCGTAGTCGATGTAGTCGTAGTCGTAGTAGTAGTGGTCGCGCTCGTTCGTGGTGGTAGTACTGCAACAGAGAGAGCTCACCACCCACAGCAGAGCAGGGCGGCAACCACAAATAGCAGCAGAAGGAAAACCATAGCGCAATAACCATACCGCACCACCCGTAAAACACCAGGGCACCAACCAAACAGAACAGCAAAGTGTGCACTATAAGGTACCACCCATTGGGCACCCACGACCAGGGCACCAGGGCGACCACCAGAGATCGCAGCAATTGGGGCAGCATAGGACATCAGACAAAAGGCACCTCCTATGGACCACCAGGCCAGCGTCCGGAAATCGCAGCACATGAAGAAAGAAAGAAGAGCAGCAACAAAAAACAGCCGTCGCGCTCGCGTACCGCCTTTTGCGCACAAGGGGGACCACCAGAGATCGCGGCAAACAGGGCCTCATAGCGCACCAGCCCCAAGGCACAACCCACGGGGCACCACGGTGGTCACCAGAACTCATGGCAAACGGGGTATCCTATCGCACCAGCTCTGGGACACCAGCCATAGGGCCCCACGGCGGCCGCCCAAGATCGCAGCGGACTAGCCGAATCCCTTACTCACCGAAGAAGAAGCCATGAATGCAAACACTGCCTGGGGAAACATATGGACATATGAACATCGGCGGCGGGCAAGGGGGGAAGTGAGAAGGAAAGGCCTTCTCAGAAGGCGGCGGGACTTCTCAGAAGCCCTCGCGCCTTCTGAGAAGTCCCACCAGCCCTTTGGGCGTGAGTGGTTTAGCGAGCTCTCTCTGTCCTCAACCCCCCTTCTTCCCCTTCGGGGAGGTGTTTACCCCTCCCCCTACCCCCTCCCTCTGGGCCTGGAGAGGGCGGGCCGCGGGTCGCCAGGGGGGTCAATTTCGACTCCTGGGAGAGCTAAAAAACGACACCCCTCACGAGGATTCTGGCCCCGACGGGGGGGGGGAGAAAAAACCCTCTCCTCTTCTTTGAAGCGAAAATCATTGATTTTACTACGGTTTTGGGCCCATTTTGGCCTTCTGAGGGGGCAGCGCTCCCCTTCCTTCATCGCAAAATCATTGATTTTACTAAGGTTTTGGGTTCATGGGCAGCGCTCATTTGCGCTTCTGAGGAGGTCGCAAGAGGCCCCAAGATGGCCCCAAGAGGCCCCCAGGAGGCTCCCAAGAGGCCTCCAAGAGGCCCCCAAGAGGCCCCCAAGAGGCCCCAAGAGGCCCCCAAGAGGCCCCCAAGAGGCCCCAAGAGGCCCCCAAGAGGCCCCCAAGAGGCCCCCAAGAGGCCCCCAAGAGGCCCCAAGAGGCTCCAAGAGGCCCCCAAGAGGCCCCACGAGGAGCCCGAACGACTCACACCAGGACGAGGGGCCCGAACGACTCACACCACGAAGAGCCCGAACGACTCACACCACAAGGAGGGGCCCGAACGACTCACACCAGGACGAGGCGCCCGAACGACTCACACCACGAGGAGCCCGAACGACTCACACCACGACGCGGGCCCCGAACGACTCACACCACGAGGAGCCCGAACGAGTCACACCAGGAGGAGGGGCCCGAACGACTCACACCAGGACGAGGGGCCCGAACAACTCACACCACGAGAAGCCCGAACGACTCACACCAGGACGAAGAGCCCGAACGACTCACACCACGAAGAGCCCGAACGACTCACACCAGGAAGAAGGGCCCGAACGACTCACACCAGGACGAGAAACCCCAAACGACTCAAATCACGAGGAGCGCTTTCTCTCCCTCCTCCTCCGCCTCGTCCTTCTCCCGCTCCCCCCACAAGGAGGATGTACAAGGAGGCGGGAGGAAGGAGGAACAGGGGAGATATGCGGGGCCAAGCGGACACACGCCTGAAAAACACGACTGTCGGCATGCTTCGCAAGAGTTGCTGCTGTGAGATGGGCTGGTGGGGATACGCGAAGCGTAAAGAATTTGAAGTGTCTTCCCAGAAGGCTTAGGAAACTTCTCAGAAGGCCGGGGGACTTCCGAGCCTTCTGAGAAGGCCCGCCCCTTCTCACTTCCCCCCCTCGCTCGCCGCCGAGAAGAGAAGAGAGGAGAGTAGCGACTGGCCGGCTGCAACTGGCTGGCCCAACCGCAGACCTAGGGACGGGCGTCGCCCAAGACCCCCGTGGAGGCGATCTACTTCAACAAGCTGACGTCACGAAACTGGAACGGACACTAAAAATGTGTGGCGTCGCAGCCACGCGCACAGCAACGCGGCGGAGCCAGGCTAGCGGGAGTAAATGGAGGGAGTGCGGCGCACACCCACGCGCAAGAACAAACAGACACGCACACACAGACACACACACACAAACAAACACACACAAACACACACACACACACACAAACACACAACACACACACGCGCGCACACACACAGACACACACACACACACACACACACACACACACGCACGCACGCACACACACCACACACACACACACACACACACGCACGCACGCCCGCGCACGCACGCACGCACGCGCACGCACGCACGCACGCACGCACGCACGCACGCACGCACGCACGCACACACACACACACACACACACACACACACACTTCTCTGCGTCTCGGCCGCGTGCGCAGCGACGCACCGTAGTCAGGCAGCCTGAGAGCCGAAGGGCACGCGGCGGGAACCCCACGCGGCACCAGGCGGGGCACACAGGGCCCACAACACACACACACACACACACACACACACACACACACAGCGTGCTCGCGTGCCTGCTTGCTTGCTTGCTCGTTTTTTTTTTGCGGTGGCGGAGCTACGTCAGGCAGACGGCAGCGAGCACCCCTCTCAGAAAGGACAGGGCGGCCACTACATCAGCCCCTAATTTCACTGCACCGACCTTGCAGACGTGCTGCGGCAGATTTGTGTGTGGATTTCTGTCAACGCAAAGCCCCGAAACGGCGAGTGGTAAAAGAATTGAATTTCGCGTGGACTGGACGAAATTCACCTCGAAATCCGGAATGAAAGTCTCCAGGACACGCCAGGCCCATCCTATCGTTATCCGAACGAAATCCGCTCTGCGATGTTGGCGCCATGACAAATTTAAATAAATCGGCGCAAAAGCAATGGCGGAAAGGCGGTGAGGCGCAGCGAGGGAAGAGTGGCACACGCACGCACACACTAACATATATACACACACACACACAAACTTTGTCTTCCAACGGCTGGGTGACAACACCGCACCGTGTTCTGAGGCGGGGCGCACTTCGTTCGATTACCACCTGGCGCGATGCTGACGCGCACCGCCCAAGAGATGGCACAGAGCAAGGGCAGGCTCCAGTCGAGGCACCCAGCCGAGCGGAACGAGCAGTGCGCGAGGCAAAGCACGGCCGAGGAGCAGGGAAGGCAGGGAGGCTCAGTCAAACGCGCGTGCACACGCGCGCGGGCGTCGAGCCCCCCTGCAGGCCGGCGGGCACGCGGACGAGCTGGCGAGCACGCCTCCCACGTGGCCTGGAGAGCGCGGCCCGAGCGTGCGACCAAGGCCCACGTCTTCGGCTGCAGCCCTCGGACCGAGCGCGTGTCCTTCGACGTGCACGCCCCCGTCACGCGCCAGCCGAGACCCACCAGCAGCTGCTCGACGACGTCCTGCGGCACTCCACCCCGCCCCTCCCTCCGTATTCCTTATCCGCGTCTGTTTAGTGTTTCCTACGACTTGCGGGGACGGACACATGGGACAATTTGGAGTCTGGGTACACACAACAGTGAGTGTCCATGGTTACGCGGCTAATATTCTAGTGCCGTCATCGCCGTCTGCCTCCTCCTCCCCCTCTTTGTCCTCCTTCCAGACAATATGATGTATCGAATCTTGTTGTTGTCGCATTGTTTCACCAATAGCGGCGCCCCGGCGCCACCCTGCAGTGCCCCCGCGGCACCTTGACTGCAGGCCGCTTGTCCGCTTGTCCATGTCCCTCCTCCTGCTCCTCCTCCTCCTCCTCCTCCTCCTCCTCCTCCTCCTCCTCCTCCTCCTCCTCCTCCTCCTCCTCCTCCTCCTCTGACGAGGGCCAGCCCGCGGCGTGCTCGCCCGGTGGCGTTTGGCCGCGCCGTGCGGCCCGTCAGCCGAACCAGGCCGCCCCCAAAGCGTGCCGGGGGGGTCAGGGACGCGCGTCCCGCACCCCCGCCGAGAGGAAACGTCAGGGGGGGACCAGCGCAGGCGGGGAAACACCGAGCCTGGATCGGCGATAGGCCCCCAAATTGCGAATCCAAAAAAGTTCCTGGGCGGAGCGGGTGATCAGGAGCAATCGGCGATCGATGCGTCCCCCCTGAGCATCTCACCCACCAAAGTTGCCCAGGATCCGCCCCCCGAGCCGCGGCGAGCTCCGAGTCGGCGGCACACCCAGGGGGGAGAGCGAGCGAGGGCAGGCATTCTCAGAAGGCGGCGAGGCCATCGCTCGGACGTTCATTCCCTGTGCATTTTTCGGTTTCGTGCGTGTTTTTGTTTGCTTGATGATCCAGGATGCTCCTCCAGGGTCCTCGCCGAGAAACAGAAACACGCGTCCGAGCGATGCCAGGTCTGAGAGGCCCCCGCGCCTTCTGAGAAGCCGCCTGTGGCTGCAGAGCAGACTTACGAGGCTCTCCCGAAGGCGCGAGGGCCTCCGAGGAGCCCCGCCGCCTGCTGAGGCGGCCCGCCCCGCCTCACCTCCCCCCCTGGGCTCGCCGCCAAGAGCACGCTCCGGGAGCACAGAAAGGGGCCAGAGAGAGGCCCGCGCACGGTGTCTGGGAGCTGGAGGAGTGAGGAGGAGGAGGAGGAGGAGGAGGAGGAGGAGGAGGAGGAGGAGGAGGAGGAGGAGGAGGAGGAGGAGGAGGAGGAGGAGAGGAGGAGCTGGAGCTGGAGGAGGAGGAGGAGGAGCTGGAGGGGGAGGAGCTGGAGGACGAGGAGGAGGCACTCGCGACAGGAGCCCGTGCCCACTGCCGCCGTGCGACGTCGCAGCGCGGGTCATGCGGCCGAACCTGCACCGCCGCTGGACTCGAGGCCCCCCGAAGCAGGACCCTGCAGACCAGCCCTCTGCAAAATCCCACCGGGAGAACACGAGGAGTGGAGCTTGCCTCGACTTTGAGTCGGACATGTCCCTCTACAGGGGAAGATTCCCCCCCCCAAAAAAAACGCTTGCTTCTATCAAAAAACGCCTGGGAAGAATGCTTCTAGGGGGACATGCCCGACCTACGCCTCGACCCAGGGCTGCAATTCTCTCGGGCGTGCCCGGTGCCGCGGCCTTCTCGGAGGGCGGCCTCCTCGGTGCACTCCGCGCCCCGAGGTCCCCGAAGCCCCGAGGTCGCCCCCCGCGCGGCCCACCTGTCGGCTCTGGACCGCTCCGTCGGGGCCCTGGGGCCCGAGGCGGGCTGTCTCGCACGACGGACTATGAATGGATACGTGCTCTGGGTTTCCCCACAGTCAACACGGAGGACGAGCTGACACACATACATATAAATGCATACATACATATGTGCATGCATGCCTACATACATGCATGCATACATACATACATACATACATGCATACATGCATGCATGCATGCATGCATGCATGCATGCATACACCCACATACATACACATACATACATACATACTATGCATAATATACACACATACATACATATATACATACATACATACATACATACATACATACATACATACATACATACATACATACATACATACATACATACATTCATTCATACATACATACATACGTACGTACGTACGTACGTACGTACATGCATACATACGTACGTGCGTACGTACATACCTACATACAAACAGACAGACAGGCAGACAGACAGACAGGCATACATACATACATACACACACATACATACATACATACATACATACATACATACATACATACATACCGACAGACAGACAGACAGACAGACAGACAGACATACATACATACATACATTCATGCATACATACATACATACATACCTGCATACATACATACATACATGCATGCATGCATACATACATACATACATACATACATACATACATACATACATGCCTGCATATATACATACATACATACATACATACATACATACATACATACATACATACATGTATACATACATGTATACATACATACATACATACATACATACATACAGACAGACAGACAGACAGACAGACAGACAGACATACATACATATATACAAACATACATACATACATAAATGCATGCATGCATGCATGCATGCATGCATGCATGCATGCATGCATACATATATACAGTACATTCATACATTCGTACATTCATACATTCACACATTAAGACATACATACATACATTCATATCCACCGCCGATGGCCAGGCTGAGGTTAAGCGTGCCTGCACCGGGTCAGGCGCGCACCGTCCCGCCCTCAAACGTGCTTGTAACGGGCCAGGCACTGCCCGAAGTTCCTCGTGATCATCCCCGTGATGAGCGTGGGTGGCTGCCGGTGACTGTGAAAATGCCATGTTTCCTTACCCTCTGGCGCACCAGAGCGGAGACCAGCAGGGTCCCAGGCGACGTGCTGCAGAATCCTGCCAGAAAAGGAGACCGCCTCCTCGTGGGCCCACGCTGGGAGATCGATCGTGCCTCCCTCTCCCCCTCTTCCTCGTCCTCCCCAGCCCTTTTCCTCCGTACAGTGGGACCCAAGCCCCTCCTCCTCCTCCTCCTCCTCCTCCTCCTGCTCCTCCTCCTCCTCCTCCTCCTCCTCCTCCGGAAGAACATCATTCAGGAACATGAGACCCTCCGTCGGCCAAGACAAACAGAACACCCAAGGCCACCCTCCCGGGCGGCTCCCCGCCCGCTCGCCGCCCCCCTCCGCCCGCTCGCCGCCCCCGCCGGGGATGGAGCGGAGGACGCTGAGGGCGACAACGACGCCCCCTCGCCGCGGGGAGGGGCCCCACTCGCAACAGCGCTTGGCGCTCCCAGGGGCACGGCAGGGGCGGCTCTGTCCTCTCCTGCCCTTTCCACCCCGGCGAGGAGGACGACGACAACGACGGTGCCACACCGAGCGGCTCTGCCGACGCGCCCTCCAGCGACCCCCCGCTGCCCGGGACGCCGGGGCACTGTTAGGCGTCAGCAGTGGCTCAGCCATCTCCTGACCGCCCCCGCGGCGCCGTCATAGGCAGGGCGAAGCCCACGCTGACCAACGTCGCCGCCACTGGCATCAAGGCCAGCACGTCCCCCGACGCAGACATCCCGCCGGGAGACAGGCGATTGACAGCCACGACGGGCGCTGTGCCACCGGCAACAGCCACGGGCGAGCTCAGCTCGGCCGCGTGTGCTGATTCAGGTTCCCTGCACGCGCCTCAGATCACGCGCGCCCCCACCGCCCCCGTCAGGAGCGACGCCGCGGCCACAGTAGCCGACGAGACGCCGATCTCTGGAACGACGTCCTGACCGGCCTGGGCCTGGACCCGGGCACCGCCTTCCCAGCGAGGGACCCGTGCGAGTGTAACGCCAGCTGACAGCTCCACTTGGGTCGACGAGGAGGCAGGCGCCCGCGTCCAGGCCGAGGCCGCAGCCTTTGCCCAGCGCCTGGCCGCCGACTGGCGCCTGGCCGAATTGGCCGCGGCCCCCATTGCTCCGGCCGCCGGCGGCGACAACAGCGCGGAGCCGGCACCCGCGCCCGGCGACCCATTTGGCGATGAGACGCATCAGGCGACCCTTCGCGGCGGGAGTGGCCTGCCTCGGGCACGCGTCTCTCCCGCCGAGGCCCTCCCTAGGCAGTTGCCTCGAAGCGCACGGTGGACGGCCCTACCCAGCGCCAACAAAACGACGGAGCCCCGACTGCCGTCACCAGCTACGTGGCACCACCGGCCCCGGCGTGCACCACCGACGCCGTTGGAACCCCAATCCCACCCGCCCACGCGAGCGTTGAAGGGGCACCGCCTCTGCCGCAGAGGCCCGACGACCGTCGGCGCCGGCCGCACCCTCTGCGAGCTCCGAGGCTCCATCCCCGCGAGCACCGCGGACCAGCCTTCGGCGTGTGCTCCCCGCCACCACGGAGGCCCACCGCATCGCTCTTCCCGATGACGATGTTCCTGCTCTTGCGGCCCCTCGCTCACTACGCCGCGCCGCCCAGGCACAGGGCGACCCCTGGCCCCAGGACCTCTGCCCCGCCGTGCCAGCCGCGAACGGCCGTGAACAGGCCACCCCCGACGAATCCGCAACACCTGCAAAAGGCCCCACCAGCGCCCACGGACGGAGGTTCGCGACGCATCGACGATGCATCGGCGATGCTTCGACGATGTGCCGGCGACATCAGCGATGTTTCGGCGACGCCGCCGTGGAGTAAAACGGGCCCCACATCGAACCGCATCGCGGACGCATCGTCGAATCAGCGCTCCACCCACGGCGCGTCGGACACGGCTCAGCCTTCCCTTGACCGCAGTGCCCTGCTGACGAGCCCCTGTCTCACGACAAGCAACAGCAGGAGCACACGGGTGAGCAATGCGATCCTGAGCAGCCGCTCGGGACACGGCACCGCATGCTCCAACCACCCGCAACAGCCCGACGGGAGCCACCTCAGTGCCAGCGGGAGCTCCACTAACACTGGCTCACGGACCAGCCCCCTGCGCACCGCTGACCAA